ACCCCCAACCCCAGTGCTCACCTGGAGCCCAGCAGAAACAGGAAGTGCTGGGCATCTGCGGAGAGGACAGGCCCCCAGGCCCAGGTGCAATTCAGGAAATCAGCGTTGTAGATGAGGCAGGAGAAGTTGCTGACAGCTGTACCCTACACACCTGTGCAGTGCAGGTAAGCAGGTGTGAGAGCTCAGCCTGGTGCACAGAAGCTGGGCCGGGGGGGGGGGGTTTGCAGCGGGGAGGGGTTTGGGACAAGGGGAGAAGGGGAGAAGGGTCCCTGAGATACCTGTGTTGCCATACACCAGGGTCTCACACAGATGTCTCTGATGGGCTGTCACCTGAACCTTGAACGTGGCGCCCACATGTAGCGTCATAGAGGTAAAGGCGCAGCCACATCCTGTCTGGAAGACCTGGCTCCAGACACTGGTTCACTCCCCCCAAATGTCTGCCACAGCCAGGAGCCATGAGACTCCTGGCAGATGCACAGGGACCTGAACCATCCCTTGCTACTGCCTCCTCCAAGGTGTTCATGAGCAAGGAGCTGTAGTCATCCAGGTCTCCCATGTGGGTGGAGTATTATGTTTATCCACCTATCAGATCCATCTATCATAAATCTATGTTTCTACATATCCATCTCTTTATCACCTCTGTCTCTCTGTCATGTCATATCTATTATATCAACTCATCTATTTTATCTATTATCCATCTATCTGTCATATGTCATCTACTCCTCAACATATTTCATCTACCTGCCAATCATCTCCATCTATCCATAATATCCATCATCTATATTTCCCTCTATATATGCATATATCTATCCATCACCCATTTTCTATCTACCCATCAATGTATATCATCTATCTACTTATACACTTATTAGTATATTAATATATATCCATGTATCTTTTCATTAATCTGTGAATATATCTATATGTACATGTCTCACTTATCCTTTCATAATATCTATCCTATATGGTAAGCATTTATCTACCTATATCACCTACAATTTATGTCTGTCGATCCAGCCATCCACTTATATCTAAGTGATTGTCCATCTGTCCATCATCCATTCACCCATCATTCCACTAACTCATCCAAACATCCATCCATCCATTCAGTTATCCATCCATCCATCCACCCATCCACCCACCCACCCATCCAATCCATCTACCCATCCCTCTACCCATGGTTTCCTGTGGCCCTCTGCGGGCACCATCTTGGTTCTCCTACATGATAAGGACAGCCTGTAGTGGAGCCGAGGGCTCACCTGTGGGCTAGGAGCTCACCTTTGTGGTGACTTTCCCAGTCTCCCCATATGTCAGTGAGCACCTGGCTTCAGTCATGTCCTCTGGGCAGGCTTAGCGTAGGGTCATTTTCCTTGGGTTGAAGGTCACATTGAGGCTGTGGTCTGCACCCTGGCCTCTTGGTCTCCCTGGTCCTGGAGGAATGCTGGGACAAGGCAGGTGTATAGTACAAGAGATGTCAGCAGGACACCTGTGGGGACACCAGCAGGAGAGGGAAGGCAGACAGAGAGAGAGAGAGAGAGAGAGAGAGAGAGAGAAGAGAGGACATCCTGGGAACACCATCCTAATACATGGGGATTAGGACCTGGACATCCTGGGGACATCCTCCTGTCTGTCACATGGGAATCAAGAACTGGACATCCTGGGGACATCATCCTATATATCATATAGGGTTGAGACCTGGACATCCTGGGGACATTTTTCCCTGGTTCCAGGGACCCTCTGAAAAATAGAAGCAAAAAATAGAAATAGAAACACGATGTGGCTCAGGTTTCTGTTATTAAAAAAAATTAATGACTTGTCTTTTTAACATGAGTGTTGTAATGGTTGCAAGAGGGCGAGTGACGGGACAAGCCATCGATGTGACAGGACAAGCCATTGAGTAACGGGACTGGTGTGGGGGTACAGCGAGGTGTGCATGAGCAGGAAACTGCAGTCCGGGGCCAGGAGCTCCATCCTGGTTTCCTACATGGGTGTAGCAGGTGCACAAGGCTGTGAGCCATTCCCCAGCAGATGAATGGATTGGTGGGTGGGTGGGTGTGGGATGTCTATCATCATTCAAAAACTTCCTCCTCCCAGCTCCCTCTTCTCTTTTCCCTCTGCCTGTCACTCACTCCCTGCCCAAGCCCACCCCCAGATGCCAACCCTGAGCCCTTAATGGGGTGGGAATTTTTTTTTTTAAATCTTGGCTTGCATCTCAAAGCCTTTATCAGCTGTGTGCAGCCTGCCAGGTGCAGCCCCAGCTGAAACCAAGCTCCAGGTGCCTCCTGCTGAGACCTTAACACTCACACAGAGGCACCCACCTGGGTGATCAGAGCTGGGAAGCTCTGGGGAGACCCAGGAAGGGGGATCCTAAATTTCTAGAAGTTTCCTAGGCTTCACCCTCCTCCCCCAAGGACTTCCCCTCCTCCTCCTCCCCCACTCTGCTCACCTGGAGCAGGAGCCATGAGCAGGTGCAAATCAGCTCAGCAGCAGCAGCCATAGATCCTGCAAATTCTGGGCTCACCTGGAGGCTGACTGACAAGCCAGCACCGTCTCCCTCTCCTCTTCCTCCTCCACCAGTCTATCTTTCTGCCTGCCTGTCCATCTACTGTTCCTCTTCCCCACCTCCCAGCACTTCCTTTGCGGCAAGATTGGGAAACCGTAGCCCCCGGCAAATGAGGTCAGCTCATGTCCACAGCTGCACACAACCCACTCTTCTTGAAGGGAAGAATGAGAAGAAAAATGTGCAACCATTGGGGTGTTGTTCACATGGGACGTGAATTAAGGAATGAAGGGACAGAGATGAGGGGCTGAGGGATGGAGCTGTCCCTCATGTGTTGATCTGTAAGAGGTCAGCTGGATTTGGGGGACTTTGGCTGGGTCTTGCGTGGTCAGACTGTGGGTGCAGGAGACATTCCACCAACTGGTGGGGCCACAGCCCACATGCGCTGTCGCTCACTGGTGTGTGGACGGTCTCCCAGTGTCTGTCACTCCCATTGACGGCTCATCAATCTGTCATCCTGTTTATCTGCATAAAAGCAATGCAGGCAGGTGGACCTGCAGCAGCACACTCAGGGGTGTCTATTATTTTTAAAGGGCACTCTGGAATTAGGGGAGGAGACAAGGGTTGCTCACGGGGTGGGGGTGGGGTGTCGTTCAGTATATGGTCACCATGCACGCTCACCTGTGTTTGCATGGGAAGCAGAAGCAGCACCTGTGTTCAGAACTGTGAGGTTTACCTGGAGGACGCTGCTGTCATCTGAAGGCCACACACAGTACTGTGGGCTGCCTGGTGGTTCCGGCATCCGAGGCCTTTGAAGGCAGGAGCCTGAGGTCCAGGTCTGGGCCTGAGCTGGGCTGCCTTGGTGGACTGCAGGAGCTCACCTGTGCCTGGGGCACCTGAGTTCCTGGATATCAGGTGAATGCCACCACATAGGAGGCAGGTGCACAAGGCCCTGAGCCATCCCCTGCTCATACACAGCCCTTATGTGCATGAGCAGGGAGATGCAGTCAGGGAGCCAGCAGCTCCACCCAGGTCTTTCAGTTTGATTGATCCATCTGGACAGTTGTCAGTTGTCAGTTCTGATGGCTGCCTCACCTGCTGTGTCTCCCAACAGGATTTGTCCTCGTGCAAAGGTCTTCTATCACACCCACGTTGGGGAGCTTTCATAACAATGCTTGACCTTGAGTCCAGCTTTCAGGTGTGTGCCTGGGACACCCTCAAAATTTCAAAAATATTCTTGAATGTTCTAGAACATCCTGCTTAGATGCCTGTCAGCAGGCATGCTGTCCATTGACTTTCAGTGCAGCTCCCGTGTGCTCTCTATCCGTCTGTCAATCCATCTATCATCTGTTTCTCTATCCCCACCTACTTCCATCCTTCATCCATCACCTCATATCTTTCTACCTATCTTCATTACCACATGTGTCATCTACTTCTATCTGTCCACCTATCTCTCTTTTTACCTATTGTCTAATTATCTATGTATGTGACACCTGTCAACTATCCATCCTCTTTTTTAATCTGCCCATCTTGTGCCTTTCTTTATATCTGTCTACCTATGTAGGAATCTATCACCTGTCTGTCATCTACCTACTTATTATTCTGTCAGTCATCTCTCTTTCCCTCTATCTTTGTCTATCACCTATCTGTCTACCATCTACCTATCATCTATCCACTAACCTCTCTATCACCTCTCTTTCCTATATCTGTCCTTATGCGTGAGTCTCTCCCTCAGCCATCCATCAACCTCTCTGTCTACCTTCGCACATCCCTACCAGTCATCTCTCCATCATCCACCCATCTGTAAGTCATCCATCCACCTGTCAATCATCTGTCAACCTGTCCATCATCTGTCCTTTTGTCACTCATCTGTCCATCGGTCCACCATAAGCCCAGACTGCAAGCCCCCAGCTGGTTCTGAGCCCCACCAGCACGTCACTTTGACCCCTGGAAAGCCCAGGACAGCCCCAATTTCCAGAACCTTCTGAGCTGAAATGCCACTCGTGTGCTGGATGAGGAAGTGAGTGTGACGGAGAGGCCCTAAGCCACAGAGAGATGAGTTTCCCAGGAAGCCACTTCCTATTTTTTTATTTAAAACTAAATTTATTTGGAAGGCAGAGCTACAGAGAGAGAAAGAGACAGACAAAGACAGAAGCAGAGAGAAAACGAGAGGTTCCATCTGATAGGTCTTTATGCCCATATGTTAGGCAGGATGACATCCCCAGGATGTACAAGTCCTATGTGACAGGATGACATCTCTGAGATGTCCAGGTCCTCATGCCCTTGTGATTGACAGGATGATGTCTCCAGGATGTCCAAGTCCTAATCTCCATGTGAGAGACAGGATGTTGTCCCCAGGATGTCCATGTCCTGATCCCTATCTGATTGACAGGATGACAGTGTGTGTAGTGTTTTTTTTTAATGCCGAGACTGAGTCTGTTTCCTTCCTGCCATTTTATCCTTTGTTCCATCTCTGCCTCTTCACCAAAGGGGTGTGGCCTCCATCTGTCACTCACCAGCCGAAATCTCCCCACCCTCCACCCAGGACGATCGTCACTCATGTGTCAGTCTCTCATTTCGGGAGCAGGCATGAGCTGCCCAGTCCACGCAGCAGCCCCCACAGCTGCTATCTTCCTCTTCATCTTCCTGCTGGGTCCTCGGGAGGCTTCGGGGCACCTGGGGACAGGTAAGAGGAACATGGGGGCAGGTAAGGCCTCAGTCCATTGCATTAGTGGTTTACTGTCTCTGTCCTTCCTTTGATTTTTTTTTCTCTTTCTAAATGTACCATAGAAGAATTTCATTGGGTTTTTTTGTGGTGATTTCCTGGCACTATGAAGAGGCCTGATTGGGGTGTGTGGAGAATCTGAGGTGTCTTCAAAATCTGGGTTGTGTGCATAATCTGGGCCATGTGCAGTATCTGGGCCGTGTGCAGTATCTGGGCTGTGTGCAGAATCTTGGCCATGTGCCGTGTCTAGGCCATGTACAGAATCTGGGCTGTGTGAAGACTCTGGGCTGAAGCCAGGTGCCAGGAGCTCCATCCAGGTCTCCCACGTGGGTACTAGGTGCACAAGGGCGTAGGTCTTCCCCTGCTGCCTTCACCCAGGTATGCGTGAGCAGGGAACTGCAGGCAGGAGCAAGGAGCTCCATCCAGTCTCCCACATTTGTTCAGCAGCTACACTAGGACCTGAGCCATACCCTGCTGTCGCCCCCCAGGTGTGTGTGAGCTAGAAGCTGTAGCCAGGAGCCACGACTGGCCTGGTACATGGGCCAACTTGACACCTGCCTCCCAGATGCCATGTTCGGGGGCTGCTCTGTCTCTGAAAACTGCTGTCTTATACACACACACACACACACACACACACACCTGCACAGAGTGTAGGTGTCTACAAGGCTACCTCCCAGGCTGCCGCCAGCCTCAGACATCTGTCTAGCTCTCCCTTTTTGTGTCTATCCTGCAGACAAACAGCCACTCCACTGGCCCCCCACCATCCTGGAAACCCCTGTCTTTGCTTCCTGTTTCTGCCAATATAAGCCTTGGTGGCTTAAACTCCAAGCATACAGACTTCTGTGCCATCAGGGACAGAATAAGCTTCACTTTTCTGACAGCCAAAAAAATAATAATAAATAATGCCTCCTTCCACCTCCCCAGGGTGCATGAGCAGGGAGCTGCAGCCAGGAGCCAGGAGCTCCATTCTGGTCTCCAACATGGGTGCAACAGTTGTACAAGGCCCTGCACCTTCCCCTGCTGCTACATCAACTGTCGCCAGCCTCCACCATCTGTCTAGCGCTCTCTCTCTCTCTCTCTCTCTCTCTCTCTCTCTCTTCCTCTAACCATCTTGCAGATGGTAGGCTGGCCTACCCCTTGGCCAGTCTGGAAACCCCTGACTGTGCTTCCAGTTTCTGCCAATCTGATCATGTGTGGGGCCTCTGACCTCAGGAATTGCAGTTCCATCAGTCACAGAAGAGGCTTCACTTTTATAACAGCCAAATAATAATAGTAATAGTAAATAATGCCCCTTTCCACCTCCCAGGTGTGCATAAGCAGGGAGTTGCAGTCTGGAGCAATGAACTCCATCCGGGTAGCCCAGGTGAGTGCAGCAGGTGCAGAGGCCCTGAGCTATCCTCTGCTGCCTTCTCCCAGGTGTGCATGAGAAGGGAGCAGCAGCCAGGAACCAGGAGCTCCATCAGGGTCTCCCACAGCAGTTGCACAAGCTGAGCCATTCCCTGCTTCCTCTCTTCCTCCTCCTCCACCTACTGCTGAGTCACCACCCCTACACCAGGCCCCGACCACAAGTTCCACTTCTGCTTTTCGATTGCAAAGTGGGTGTAGCCGATGGTTATCAATCACTCCGGATTCGTGTTTTTTCCTTCATGGACAGAAGTTGCAGTGAGGTCTTTGCTCCTGCTAGAGGCATGCACAGAAACACACTCACACATGCAAATTCTTCTCATGTGCAAGGTGAGGCCTAGCAAGGACTTCCTAAAGCCCTAGTTCCAGAAACCAGAAGTTGATGGATGACTGACAGTTATCATCTCTCAAGTCACCAACCAGGACATGTCAGAGAGACAGGTGGTATTCAAAGAGGAGTTGATTTCAGTGAAATGCATGAATGGTTTTTTCCTTGATATGCATTTCCCATTTGTTTTAACAAACTCTGTTTGAGTGACACTTGGATGTTTACATATGCATTCAGATTCATCACATATGAGTTGCTATAGACCCTTCTGCCAATGGATCCATCCATGTGCTTGCCTACATGTCCATGCATCCATCCATCCACCCACCCACCCATCCACCTATCTACACATCCAACCATCCAACCATCCATTTATCCACAGATCCAAGCATTCATCCATCTACCCATCCACCTATCCACTCATCCCCACCCCCCCACCCACACATCCAACCATCCATCCATTGCATCTATCCATCCACCTGTCTGTCCACCCACCCACCCATCCATCATTCATCCATATCAGAGTGTCCAGGTTTGAGTTCTTGTTGTGTTTCAGATTCCAGCCCTCTGATCCTGCACACCTGGGAGGCAGCAGCAGGGGATGGCTCTGGCCCCAGTGCAACTGCTACACCCATGTGGTAGACCTTGTTGGAGCTCCTGGCTTCTGACTGCAGCTCCATGCTCATGCATACCTGGATTAAGGGAGAAGCAGGAGATGGTTCAACGTCTTGCGCAAGTGCTGCACTCACATGGGAGACCCAGATGGAGCTTCTGGCTCCTGGCTGCAGCTCTCTGCTCATGCATGCCTAGGAGGCAGCTGCAAAGGACAGCTCAGGTCCCTGTGCACCTGTTGCACCCACGTGAGAGATGCAGATGGAGCTCCTCACCCCTGACTGCAGATTCCTGCTCCTGCACATCTGGGAGGGGGTTCCAGGTACTTTGACCATGACCTGGTGGTGCCATAGATGATGGTGACCCAGCTAGGATGTCACCAGGGCTGCAGACTTTCCCTCAGTGTTGCACCTGCGCATTCCAGCTCAGGATGCCCCTGAAAGCTATCACTCATCCATCCAGCGGGTCGGGCATTTGCTGGCAGTGGTCTGTGCATCTGTGTCTCCATGCAGGGCAGCTAGGACTCCAGATCACCTGCTTCAATTTCCAGACGGTACAGATCACCTGGGATGCTGGCGAAACATCTGGAAGCAACCTGACCTTCATGTACAGGTGAGGTCCTTGGGAAGTGAGTGAGGCCAGGAGCCTCAGTTACAAAGTGGATTCTGCCTCTGGAGGAGTGCATGGGTGTGAGAGAGCTCAGGAGGGTGTGCAGTGGACACGAGGTGCAGATAGATGCTGAGAAATTACAAAGCGATTTCAGTATATTTTTGCCTCCAGCTCAAAATGAAGGCAAACAATGCTTGAAATGAATGCACAAAAATTGATGCAAAAATGCTTGGAAATGTATTATGCAAAAAATAAAAATATGCAGTTACCTCAGCATGTTTTGCATCCAGCTTGAGATGCATGCAAAAATGCACCCTCCAAAAAATAAAATTATTCCGAGATCTCAACATGTTTTTATCCATCTTGATATGCATAGAAGTAATGCTTGAGATGCACAAAGTGCAGAGATGCATGCCCAAAAAAGCATGCATAAATGCATGGAAATGCACTATGCAAAAAAATGCAGCCATTTCAGTGTACTTTTAGTGCAACTTGAAATACATGCAAACAATGTTTGAAATGCATTGTAAAAATGAATGCAAAAGTGCAAGGAGGGGTCAGTGCTGTGGCCTAGCAAGAAAAGCTGCTGCCTGCAGTGCCAGCATCCCATATGGATGCCTGTTCAAGTCCTGGCTGCTCCACTTCCAAACTAGCTTACTGCTATGGCCTGGGAAAGCAATAGCAGATGGCCCAAGTCCTTGGGCCCCTAAACCGTGTGGGAGACCCTGAAGAAGCTCCTGGTTCCTGGCTTCAGATTGGCAGCCAACTGGGGAGTGAACCAGCTGCTACATCAACTGTCGCCAGCTCTCTCTCTCTCTCTCACTCTCTCTCTCTCTCTCTCTCTCTCTCTCTCTCTCTCTTCCTCTAACCATCTTGCAGATGGTAGGCTGGCCTACCCCTTGGCCAGTCTGGAAACCCCTGACTGTGCTTCCAGTTTCTGCCAATCTGATCATGTGTGGGGCCTCTGACCTCAGGAATTGCAGTTCCATCAGTCACAGAAGAGGCTTCACTTTTATAACAGCCAAATAATAATAGTAATAGTAAATAATGCCCCTTTCCACCTCCCAGGTGTGCATAAGCAGGGAGTTGCAGTCTGGAGCAATGAACTCCATCCGGGTAGCCCAGGTGAGTGCAGCAGGTGCAGAGGCCCTGAGCTATCCTCTGCTGCCTTCTCCCAGGTGTGCATGAGAAGGGAGCAGCAGCCAGGAACCAGGAGCTCCATCAGGGTCTCCCACAGCAGTTGCACAAGCTGAGCCATTCCCTGCTTCCTCTCTTCCTCCTCCTCCACCTACTGCTGAGTCACCACCCCTACACCAGGCCCCGACCACAAGTTCCACTTCTGCTTTTCGATTGCAAAGTGGGTGTAGCCGATGGTTATCAATCACTCCGGATTCGTGTTTTTTCCTTCATGGACAGAAGTTGCAGTGAGGTCTTTGCTCCTGCTAGAGGCATGCACAGAAACACACTCACACATGCAAATTCTTCTCATGTGCAAGG